TCAGTGAAATATTGAACAAAAGTATTACTGAAGTAGAAAGCCCACAATTTAGCTCAGAGAAAAATATATTATTCACACATACTGAAAAGGACTCGGTATGTTATTCTATACCAATTATTCTATATTTAGGTATTTCAAAAACATTCCTACAACCAGTTTATCTTCTTCATATTCTCCCCCTCTTCACAGCAAGAATGGACTATCAGAGATGAAAATAAGGAAATTCCTATCCTGAAAACCTTAAAAGATGTGAGTGCCCCTCCTTTCTGCAGTTTTACCATTTCTTTTAGGACAGTCTGTGAGAGAGGTTTGACTTAGTTCAGATACTGATATTCCCAATTAAATGCAAATACAAGGCAGTTTGTACAGCCTATCTGTCCACTAAGAATGGATATTAAACCTAGGATGAATTTCCTAGGACAGTTCTAAACTAGGGTGACTATCACGGTCTCCACACTAGTTAGAAATCATATTTCCAGGATAGTCACAGTCCTAAAATCACCCATAATAGAAGTGCTAGTAAAGGTTAGCAGTCACCCCTGAAGTAGAAATATTTGTTTTCCTTAAACTCCCATTTGACATGTGATCTTCCTCACCTAGCTCTTAAAGGATGCTAAATTTCTGTTTCTGAATTGAGGGACTGGCCCAGGTATCTCATCCCTAAAGAAGTAAGTACAGTTCCAAGCAAATAGCTGTTGTAGTTCATGCCAATCTAGGGACACACTCTAAAAAGCATCTTTTTAAATTTTCTGCAGAAAATAAACTATATTTATTAGGGTATTTTTACTGTAAAAATGGATAAACTACTTATTTGACTATATAATAAAAATTTCCACAAAATAATTTCTTGATTGTATGGCAAATGACAATACATTTATCATGTACCTTTGCTGTTACTAGCCTATAGAGAAGCAAGAAGAAATACTTCCCATGGAGAAAATTCATCATTTTGAAGATTCCAAGACATTTCATTCAATGGAGGAAAAATTCAGTAGCAATAATGCTAACAGTCTCTCTCAAAGTATAAATATTCCATCTCAGACACATTTCAAGGATATTGTAACTCTTGAGAACTTGAGAACTTGCACAGATAATTCAGCTTCAAAAATAATTATGAACCCTTCAGAAAAGTCTGACATGTTGAGGAATTATAATAATATTTATAGTTTTCTGCCTACAGTACCTCAAAATGTGATGTCGCAAGCTGGTACAATGATTCTTGACAAATCTAAAATTACTGTACCTTTTCTAAAGCATGGATTTTGTGAAAATTTAGATGATATTTGTCACTGTATTAAACAAATGAAGGAAGAGCTTCAAAAGTCACACAATAGAGAGCTGGCACTTACAAATGAACTGCAAACTTTAAAAACAGATACAAATGTTCAAAGTAATGATAAATATGACCTGTCCCCTGCTGACAAGGAAAATTTTAATTTTATTAAGGAAGAAAACATAAATGATAACTTAAATGAAGATATAAAATTAAAAAGAATTGCAGAATTAGAAGCATTAGTAAACAAATTACTGCCACTCAGGCAAACAGTATCAAAATTCCATGTACATTTTTGTAGGAAATGTAAAAAATTATCTAAAAATGAAATACACAGGGGGAAAAATAATGAAAAAAACAATAAAGATATTCCTATCACTGGCAAGAATATTACAGATATAAAGTTCCATTCCAGAGTTCCAAAACATACACTATCATCCCTCGACCAAATAAAATGTGAAATAAAAGACAAAAGACAACCATTTGTAGTAAAACAAGGATCAGTGCTGTGTGAAAATGAGAAAACACCCAAAGTCAATTCTGTTACTGAGCAGTGTGTTGCAAAAATTCATTACTTACAAAATTACCTAAAAGAATCTATACAGGTAGAGAAAAAAGTAACAGAACTGGAGAATGAGAATTTAGCCCTTAAGACTAAAATTAAACCTCTTATCTTGACCACACAATCTCTGATACAGAAAATTGAGACATATGAAAAACAAGTTAAGAATATGGTTGAAGAAAAGAACACTATTCAGTCCAAGTTAATTAAAACAGAAGAATATAGTAAAGAGTGTCTCAAAGAACTTCAGAAAATAATTAATAAATATAATGTTCTTCAAGGCCAAAATAAAACACTAGAAGAAAAAATAAGTCAACTTTCTTTGGAGAAGCAACAAATAATAGAAGCATTAGATCAACTAAAAAGTAAAGAACATAGAACTCAAAATGATATGGCAATTGTCAATAATGAAAATAATCAAATGAGTGTAGAAATTGAAGCAATGAAAACAAATATTCTGTTGATACAAGATGAAAAAGAAATGTTAGAGAAAAAAACATACCAACTTCTACAGGACAAAAGCTCACTTGAAAATGAACTAAAAAAAAATCAGCTGGAGACCATGCAGCTAAAAGAGAAAGAAAGGTTGGCAAAAACTGAACAAAAGACACTTATTCAAATAATAGAAACAGTTAAAAATGAAAAAGCAAACCTTGAAACAACATTACAAGAATCTATTGCTGCCAGGCAAATGATGGAAAGGGAAATTGAGACTATTCAAACCTATAAATCCACTGCAGAAGAGAATCTTCTGAAAGAAATAAAAAATGCAAAATCAGAAGCAAGTATTTATAAAAATAGTTTATCAGAAATTAACAAGGAATGTGAAATGTTATCCAAAATAGTAATGGAAATTAAGACAGATAATCAGATTCTTAAAGAAGAACTAAAGAAACATAGCCAAGAAAATATAAAATTTGAAAACAGCATTAGCAGACTTACTGAAGACAAAGTACTTTTGGAAAACTATGTAAGAAGTCTAGAAAATGAAAGAGATACCTTGGAATTTGAGATGCGGAATCTTCAACAAGAATATTTGAGTTTAAGTGATAAAATCTATAGTCAGCATAATGATCTATCAAAAATGGTTTATATTCCAAGAAGAAAGAAATTCCATTTTGACAACTATGATACTTATCAAGACAGTTCTACAACTAGGAGTAGGCCATTAGCTCCTGAATTAAAAGGTATGTATGTTGTGGCAGATTAGCAGAGATGCATTTAAGATGCTTTTAGCCTATTGAGCACTGACTAGAGTACTGAAATAAGAAGAAAACTTTAGGATGAATATAATTTACTTTGGTAAGATTTGTGTCTGATTTATTATATAATAGGATTATTTAGGAATTTTGCTCTTTAGATAAAACTCATTTCATTTACATTATTTATATACATTGAATATATACCAGGGATCTTTGGCAGGGAACAAGGGTTTCTGAATTATTCTGAAGTATACTTAGCATTTCCACCTTAACAATATGATTTTTTTTCCTCCTTCCAGGAATTCCAAGTAAACTGTATCCATTGCATCCATCCAAGATATGTAAATAAATTTCTAAAATCAATGTCTCAAAAACTTTTGTCAAAGTACTTTTTCCCAAAAAAATAATCTTAAATTCATTTTTACAGTTACTTTGTAATTGGTTAAAGTAGACTGGTTTTAATAGTAGTACATGATATGCTATTGCTTAACTTTCTATCTCCTGTTGGGAGTATCTTATCTAATCTCTCCTAAATGTTAAGCCTTTCTTTCATGATCAGCTTAATATCTACAACACTTATTTCAATTTTCAGCCCTAACCACATGAGGTTGAGTCATTGGTAGCAGAAATAAATAGGTGACTAAGCACACTTACTATTTCTTCCCTTATTCACTGGTGGCTGGTTTGACCTGATACCAGCATAGTAATAGGAAAGCTGGTAATTTGATGCCTGCCCAGGGGTAGGATGCCAGTGAGCACTGAGTCTTACCTCATCACATCTGAGTCTCAACAATCAAGCTGTTTCCCAGGAAACCACCAAGTGTGTTTGTATTTTCAACACTAAAAGAATGCAAGAAAAATTTTAAAATGGGCACTAGAGTTATTGCCCCTTGAATCAAGTGTGTATTCTCTCCTGACACCCAGAAGTCTTAATTTGTTTGCCTGCTTCACTATTTTTGTTACTGGTTTCTGCATTGATTTTTTTCTTCTGTAAATTGATACAATTATGTAAACTGTAAATAAAACCTGCCAATTGTCATACTAGGGCTTGAGTTTTTAGTAAGGGTGTTAGAAGATGTTCCTTTCTATGAATATTATGTAAGCATGCATTGCTTTAAAAGACACTAATAAAACTGCACCTAACAAAAGACAAAGTTGAAATAAGCAGTTATATAGTTTTAATACAGTCTATATAAGTCCATTATCTCAAAAGGATACATATATTTATAAGGCTTATTTGGTAATATTATCAATATAAAACTATAAATATGATTCAGTTATGTGGACCTGGTAAAGCTATTCCAATTCAGAGCACAAATGGCACCTTTGAAGTATATTGTACTTCTGCTGGTGGTTTTTTAGATGTCCCCTGACCACTGATTAATTATAAAAAATGAAAACTTATAAAACAAATTTACCAATAGTAAAATTTCTGTGTACTACATTCACCCCCTTCAAAAGTCAGAAATATATCTGGCTTTTGGGCATGGTTATGCATATCTGTAATCCCAGCACTCGGGAGGCTGGACCAGGAAGATCATAGTAAGTTTAAGGCCATCCTGGGCTACACCTGAGTTCAAGGCCAGTCTGAACTACATATCAAGATCCTGTCTCAAAAAATATATCTTGCTTAATATAGTTCCCCCTTCACATAGCTCCCCCTTAGTGGAAAAAAATGAGCTCAAAGGAAGAAGAGTCTTACAGCCTCTCCACAATCTGATTTCCAGCTCTGAAAAGCCTAACCTGGCAAAGGGACAAGCCTTAAGCAAGCACCACTGATAGAAAATAACTTCCAACTTCCCCAATATATTTTAGTAGATTTTTAAATACAAATGCTGCCCACTCCCGACCCCACTGAATGAAGACTATGTTTATAGACCTCACTATGAATTACAGTAATATATATTTTAGGTTGTATTATTATCATCATTATCATCATCATTATTATTATTATTTTGGTACCAGGGATTGAACTCAGGACCTTATGCTTGTGAGGCAGGCAGCAGGACCACTGAGCTAAATGTCCAGCCCCAGTAATATATAATTTAGGAACAGACATTTTTAACAGAGTACTGGCAGGTGATGGAGAAGTGAGAATGTGGCAATTCAAGGAGGGCACTGAGGCGGGATGCTGTCTTCCGGACAGCTGGAGAAGAGCATTAGGGGACACCAGAGACAGTGCTCGTTCGCAGTCATAGATAATGAAGCAACAAGTGCATCCCATCTTCCTCAACTCATGTCAGGGACCACTGGGTAAATGATCTGATTATTTGCATAAGTTATAAAAAGAAGGCATGATACCATGTATATTTAAACATTTGCCTCGGTACAGTAATGTATATAAACATGAATCATGCAGTATAAATGGATTTAATATTTATCTCTGATGTTGAGTATTTTGATAGGCTATGACCCTTAGATAACTATCAAGACATTTTTCAAATACATACCTCTGAGAACATACTACAAGAATTTGCTATGTAATTTCTACCCTGGCTCCAGCTTCCACCGTCTCCCCGTACCTACCCCACCCCACACTGACTCTGCAATGTTTTAACATTAGGAATAAAAGCTTTTAAATGACAGGACACATTTTAAAATTTTATAAAATGTCTAAACATTATATTGTGCTTAGAAACATAGATTTAAAACCGTAAGTCAGCAATCACATATTATTAGCAAACAATATTAATAAAGAAGCAATGCTAAAGTCAGAAAGAAAAATCACAGTTGTAGTTTTAAATTTCTTTTAAATGTATGGGCTGTCTGTTCCACAAACTTCTAAATCTTTTTCAAATAATCATCTCTTGATTATGAGTTATTGGTAGGTAGGATCTAGAAAGACACTGGTTTTTCAGACACTAATATGACTGGACTGAAGCGGTCTTGTAGTTCTTCCTATTCAGCGCTCTAAAATTGGAAAAAGAAGACATATTTAATTTTACAGGTGTGGGTAAGGCATTCTTATAAAATTTTTTCATTAAAATTTTAACATCTGTTTTACAACATATTAACAATCTAGATACAAGATTTTCTCACCAACCGAAAAACTTCTCTTTAATAGTCAGACATTTTTATAATATATAATTGAAGAAGAAAAACAAAATTAGGGAATTCTGTAAATTTTAACTGTTATGTTTTAAAGTTCATTAGTTTTAAAGTAATGAAATTAAATTTTGATTTAGAGTAATATTTGAGATAATATAAAAAGATTTCAATAAAGAGTTACTAAATGGAAGACAAAACTTATTTTTCAAAAGAGGCAATTACTTTTTTATTTGTTCCTGCTCTAAATATATATGCTAAAATACCACAGAACTTGCTCTGGGTGTTTTTCCTCTAGATAGAAAGGAACACAGAATACCTGGAACCAGCCCCACAACCACATAAAAATCCCATCTAGCTGAGGGTGGGCATGATAAGGTAAATTCAATTTTATTGTCTGTTCTATTACATCAAGTGAGGCAGAGTAGTGATAACTGGGCATAGGACATAGGTGAGAAAAACTTGATATCTCCTATTTACAAATTCAGTATTAACTAGCCATCACAGGATATGTCCTGTAGACAACAATTTAAACTGTAAAAATTCCCCTGGTACATAGGTGTGTCATTTGACTATATAAAGAAAACTCAGAGGAACAGATTAGTTTTATTTTTTTTTTATTTGAATTTCGCTAGGTCAATTTTTTTGGGAAGAGGAGACAGGGTCTTACTTTTTGGGAGCACTGATCCTCCTGCCTCAGCCTCCCAAGTGTTGGGATTATAGGCGTGCACCACTTTGCCTGGCCTAGGTCAATTTTCTTTACTTCATAAAATTTTCACCAAAGTACTTTGAAGAGTAGATAAATTGTGGATAAATCAGCTATATCACCATCTGTATTATCATCACTCAAAAATCTATCTGAAAACCTAGTCATTGAACCCACATAAGGAATCAGCAACACATGGTAGTCTTAAAAAGCTTGAATTAGCTAAATATTGCACCTAAAGAGGACTATTCATCTCACCTACATTTACCTCCCTTATAATAGCACCTCATAAGTCAGATATTTTGTATGAATCACATAGTTTGACTTCTATTTACCATTTGATGAGATGTGGCTACCTAGAGCTTTTGGTAAAAGTATTTTGTATTGGAGTTTGGAAGAGTGGTTATTTCATTTAACATAAAATATGAATGCACTGTGTTTTCAGATAGTTGCTGTGATATTATCTTAATGAAACTGAATTCGTGAGATGGGTGGGATGCACACCTGGATTCCCAGCTACACAGGAGACTGAGGTGTGAGGACCCTAAGTTTGAGCCAGCCTGGGCTCCACAGTGAGGCCCAGTCTCAAATAAATTCATGGGAAAGATATCAATTCCAATATTCCTAATAAGATGTATCCGTGGTTTAATACAAGTGTATATGTAATAATCATAGGGTTAGGTCATAGGAACATAAACAACATTCTGTAGTTAATGCTACTGACATATACAAATGCACAAATAACTTCATTTAACAAACATTTTATGCACTTGCCATTTGGAAAATATTGAAGTATTCCAAAGAATAATCAAACACATTTACATATATAAAATAACTCTAAAGTATAACATACAAAATGATTGTAGCATAAACAGGTTATGTAGATAAAACTCAGTCTAGGCTCCATCTGAAGATATTAGTAAAGGTTTTATAGAAGGCATTATAGAAAAAAGGTAAAAGGCAGAAGAAACAAACTTAGTAATGCATCGGGACTGCTAAAAAAATAGTGTATGCATTTCATGTGGCTAAAACAAAAGATACATTACAGTAGGGGAGGACAACACAATAATGGGTTACTCCCACATTGCAAAGGGCCTTCAGTTCTATATATCAAACATTTGAAAATATATATTTAATAATATCCATATACTTTTCTCAAAGCATTGTGTGATACTTCATTTTTAATTAGCTGGAATAGTCCTTGCTTCCAGTAAGGTTATTTCAGAGTTAAAGATGGAACTCTCAGCCATCATTTAGATTCTTCACAACTGCTGAGAGACTCCTTTGGGGAAAAGCCCATGTTGACATGTAGTGCAAATTAAAAGACAAATACAATATCTAAATAGTTTCAAATGACTCGTATAAAAGTGCCTTCTCCAGGCAGGTATAAGGAAAGTACTAAGACTACTAAAGTTATTCAAATTTGTCATTTTCAAGAATGTATAAATAAAAATTATTCTAAAGAAGTCTAAAAATTCAAAGTATTTTCTCTTGGTTTGGAAGCTAAATATAAGGTATTCCTACCTTCTGACATTCAGAGCCATTATACTTTCAACTGGTCTGCTTTTTGGTCCACCTGATGGATGGAAAATCTTAGCATCTTTCCTGGAAATCTCCTTTTCCAATTTAACCACATAAGGGTCAGCAGAATGTGATGGGTAAGCTTCAAAGGTCCCAGCCTTCATTCCACCAGCCTACAAATAAAAATAATACAAATTATTATTATTTTATGAAATGCTTCTAAAAATTAGGTTGTGAAGTTCATACATACTTTTGTAGCTTATGTTGTCTTACTTTCAAAGAAAGTTACCTATACTGTTTGATTCAAATACCAGCAAAGTGTCTTCCTATCACCAATTTTATAAGGTTAAAACACTATAATTCCAAACTAATAAAAGTGAAAATGTTTGTAGTAAGGTAATAGTCCAACCTGTTGCCAAGCATTAAGATTTTGGCGAAACTTCATCTAATCAGCCTATCACCTGGGGAACTATTACTGAGGGAATGCAATGCACATTAGATATATTTTGATAGGAAAATAAGTGGAAGCTGACATTAGCATAAGTATACTAAATTCCAGCCAATGGTGGGGAGTATATAAACCCTCAAAAAAGGAGTAGCATATGGAAATAGGTGAGGAGAAAATATGACCTATGTTATACTTTACACTTTTCTAAACTAGTTAGAAATTTTTCTGCCTATATATAAGACAAATAAATATTTGATTTTTAAAACTAATTTATCAGAATTTTTTGTCATGATATTCATTTTTTTAAAATCTGCAGAACTATAAACCTCCCCATTTAATTAGACATTCTTTTCCTTGTAATGTCTAAACCAAAACTACATGAAGCCAAATTAATTCATTTGAAAGACATGCTTATAACTTCAAGTTCTCCAAATAAAAAAACAGATGAACTTGAAAAGCAAAATAAGAAAAATTTTAAAAAGTAAAATAATTTAAAAATGGAAAAGCAAAATTAAATATATATATATATATATATATATATGATAGAGATAGAGAGAGAGAGAGAGAGAGAGAGAGAGAGAGACTCCACCAAAAATATGTATGCAGACTTCAGCAGTTCACCTGGAAGCTAATGACCACCACTTTGAGCACCTCTTATAATTGTCAAGGCCAAATGTAACTTGTATTAATCTCATGTTGTCTCAATAAATTTAGTATTAAAATATTTATACGAGGTTTTCTTCTCCTGAGGTATACATTTTTGGCAAAATAAGCATGCCAAATAATGCTTTAAGAATAAGTGAAAGCTGGATGTGATGGCACATACCTGAAATCCCAACTATTTAGAAAGTTGAAGCCAGGCATGATGGCACATGCCTGTAATCCCAGCACTCAGGAGGCTGAGGCAGGAGGATCACTATGAGTTTGAGACCAGCCTGGGCTACATAGTGAGTTCCAGGGCAGTCTCAACTACATAGTGAGACGCTGTCTCAAAAAACAAACAAAAAAAATTTAGATAGTAATTTAACAGACACATTAAAAATATAAAGACCCAATTCAAAAATGGGCTCCTGAAATGAACAGATATTTCTCAAAGAAGTAAAAGCACAAAATAAATATATGAAAAAATGTTCATCAACATCACTGATCATTCAAGAGATATAGATGAAAACAACACTAAGATTCCACTTCACCCCAGAAAGAATGGCTGCTATCAAGCAATCAACCAATAAAAATGCTGACGGGGTTGTGGGGAGAAAGGAACTCTTCTCCATTGTTGGTGGGAGTGCAGACTGGTGCAACCACTATGAAAATCAATATGGAGTTACCTCAAAGAGCTAGGATTGGAGATCCCATTTGACCCAGCCATCCCTCTGCCGGGTATCTTTCCAAAAGAATTAAAAGAATCATACAACAGTGATATATGGGCACCCATGTTCACAGCGGCACAGTTTGCAATAGCTAAAATTTAGAAACAGCCCAACTGCCCATCAACTGGAGATTGGATAAAGAAGATGTGGTGTTTTTATAAAATGGAGTACTACTCAGCCATAAAGGAGAAACTAGAGACATTTATAGCTAAATGGATGCACATTGAGGACATACTATTAAGTGAAATTAATAGGACACACATGTAGAAATACCAAATAGTTTCTCTGGTGTGATAAACTAAAAGTGTAAAAAACGATCAAATGTATAATTGATATTGTGTCATAGGAAAAAATGTCTAAAGATGTAGGGAAGTGGGAGGGGTAGGGGAAAGGTAAGAAGGGAAAAGAAAAAATAAGAGAAAAGGAAAAAATATGGAAACAAATTCTTTGTAAATAGGGAAGGGTGCAGCGGGGTGAAGGAAGGCTAGGGGAATAGAGAAGAAATAAGAACCAAGACCTGTCATGTAAAGGTACAAGATCCCAATGATGAATGTAACTGTATTGTATACCTAACATGTACCAATTTTTAAAAAGCATAAAGTTTAATGAAATGGCAATTATTTCTAAAAATCAAATGTTTTAGAAAGACAAATAAAGGAAAATGTGATGGGATACTATTGACCTAGACCTTAAAATAACAAGGAATAAACCTATCCGATGAAAAATATAAACTTGTAGAAGAGATACAGATAAAAAGCAGCTTCTCTAAGTGGTTAATTCCTAGACCAGAAGATTCATATTATAAATATACATAAAAAATTAAAAATTTAATTTTATATCAAAATGTAAGAAGTTTTTTGGTTTTCCTTTTTAACTTTATAAAATAAATTCTAGAGAATAAAAATGAGATAATAGTTAATGGAATGGATTCAAAAAGTAACAAGAAGAGATTATACTACTTAATATTACATTTAATAGTAATTAAAAGTGACCTAGGAGAAATAAATAGATCGCTCAAACAGAATGAAATTTCAAAAATATATACTCAAGAACAAGAAACTTCATTTCATAAAGATGGTATTTCAAAGTAGAAGTGTTAAAATGAATTGTTCTCTCAAGGAGATTAAGAAAAATGTTTAGCCAGGCATGGTGGTGCACGCCTGTAATCCCAGCACTGGGGAGGCTGAGGCAGGAGGATTGCTGTGAGTTTGAGACCAGCCTGGGCTACATAGTGAGTTCCAGGTCAATCTCAACTACATAGTGAGACCCTGTATCAAAAAAAAAGTTTAATTTGTTTTATTGCATTCTGACAGAATAAACTGTACTTATTTAAAGTGTACAATTCTATGA